ACTCGAACTGCTGAAGCGTCGACCATTTCTGGCCGGCAACTTTCAGCGTCATTAAGCCACTGCGCCACCGCGTCCCCCTTAAAATTATGTATAGGTATAGATATACAGTAGATATAGATGTAGATATAGATGTAGAATAATTAAAATCACCCTGCACGTAAACTTCAACTGATGTGCCTCATAGCAGCATCTCATGGCATAAGATTAACTTCCATGCCCCCAAAAGTGTTCCCAAACGCTTTGCACCCCTCTGGAAGGCCAAAAAACTGGAGGAGGATCAGAGTATTTGAGTATCTGGGGATAAGACTTCCATAGAAGAGAGCCATCCTCAAGAAGGTTCACTTCCCTGCTATTAAGCAACTTCCTCTGGTTCCAGAACATCTGGAGGTTGGGAAAGGCTGGACCAGGGTTAAAGTCCATTGAAGTCTGCATTTTGGAACAGATCTCCAGTTCAGCCATTTCCCCCCCATTCTGTCTGCACGTGCCTACGGCCAATCCTGGACTTTACTTTTCGGGTTCCGAGATTGCTTCCAAGATCTGTGGGAGAATTTTTTCCCAGCACCAGACCAAGGCCACAAATCCAGGTGAATCAACAAGATGCATTTGTCACGGATCCATTCTCAGCCCATAGTCATACGAAATGAAAGCAATTGTTGCAATTCAGACAATGACTTGAAAAACAGGTTCTATGAGGAAAATAAAAAAATAATTTAGCCTAGTGACAAGGCTTCCTTTTTAAGTGGTTCCATTATCCTAAGTGGGAAGCTGGTACGTCTTTGGGTTGCAGAAAATGTGGAGGAGGAATGGAATGTGATGTTCTCAGATGTTCCAGATTTCAAAAGAAAATTAATTCCTTCTTTGGGTGTTCGATCAACCATTGCAGTCATTGGGTGCCACCCTGTGGCTTTAATCTAGCACTGCAAGCCAATTTAATGCGCCACTCAGAAAGCATTGTGGGAAAATGTTGTTGGTGTAGAGTGGCAAAAAATCAGAGGGAGTCTGGTAGGCTCTTTTCTGATTAACAGATTTTATGAAAAGGCAGAAGCTTTTGTGCCTTTTAATACAATTTGTTAGCTGGAAAAAATGGTATCCCGCTCATTCAGAAAACAGTACTTCATCTGTACAGTAAGGAGTATGGAAGTAAACTGAAAAGAAGTCAAATGCTGATGTAGGATTGGCATTTCTAATAACATTTCAAATAACATTTGTTATTACAGCTTTCCAACAACATTTGTGAAGATGTTGCAATTGGTCACAAGCTGAATATGAGCCAGCAATGTGAAGCGGCTGCAGAGAAGGCAAGGGCAATTTTAGGGTGCATCAACAGGACTCAAGTTTCCACATCATGGGATATTCCACTACATTCTGCATTGCTGTGAGCATGGAACTCAGTTCTGGGCATTGCCCTTTAAGAGCAACGAGGATGTTCAGGGAGGTGGAAATTCAGCCTTGTGACAGCAGACCAAGAGCCTTGGGGACATTCAGCCTTGAGGGATGAAAACTGAGTCAGAAGAGGATGATTTAAAGCAGAAATCCAAGGTCTAGTCTCTTCTGCACCAGAATTCAGGAGATGAAATCATGGATTTAGGCTACAGGAAAAGTAGTCTGACATTGAAGTCAGCATCCTAGAGAGATGACAAACTCCCCTTCCCTGGACATATTCAACCACAAATGAACCACCATTGGTCAAAGATAGTTTAATTTCCTACACTGAGTAGAAGGTTGGACTTGATGACCCCAGGGCTTCTGGCCAGCTCTACGTTTCACGTTTAACCTGATGGTTGTATTATATGAAGGGTGTGGCTGAGCCACAAAGGAACTAACCAAGGGTGGCCCTGACCAGATGCTGATGTTTAAGCATGTTGTATGGACACAGCTGTTAAGACCTTACCAGCAACCCAAAAAGGTAAACTTAGTTGGACTCCTGAAAAAGGCTTCTGAGTGACGAGGAAGAGAACCTCATGTTTTAGGATACTTCAGCTTGAAAAAGGGTGGACCAGGTCGTGGTTTGAACTCATGCATAGGA